AGTTATCCTAACATGCTTAAATACTTACCTTCTCACAATCTGGGAGAGTGATAAACCTAATGAAGGAAGAACAGCATCATGACCTTTTGTTTTGGCAGTACTAATGATAAAGAGTTAATAAAAATAATGCCAACCACAAATGAAATTTCTGAAGAACTGTGTAATACACAGGAAATCACACATTGAGTAATATTTTTGCCAATGATACTTTTGTCTAAGCTTTGCTCTTTTTTCCCAGACTGGGAGCTCTCCTGAAAAATGGAACTATAAAGCAACTGGCTCCTTGGAAAAATGACAGCTGCTTGGATTATGTGTTCTTTTCCGTTTTGTTTTGTTTTTTTTTTTTTAACATATAAAATATTATGACTTCTGTGTTCATTGTAGTAATTAGCTCCTTTCTGCTGTCTAATGATTTTATCGCTGCTGTATCACTTTCCCATTTCTTTTTGTTAGCATTAAATGTTGCTAAGTAACTGAATCAGGCTGTGGTATTATATGGCATAACTACTCCATTCTTTGAAATATGTATAGAGATTACTCAGCAAAATGAAAATTACTCTCCTGAGGGAGAGAAGGCCATTTACATTTATCATAATGTACATTTTAAGAAAAGGTGAAAGGGAATCCTATAAACATGACGTCTACTTCCAAACCAGGTATCTCAAGAAGTACTAATACTGATGAATATTGTTTACCTTCTCCATGAGATTACCCTAAACCACACTAAGTAACACATTTATTTTGCTTTTAATCATGTGTCTCAGCACTTACAAGCAAAGTAACCTAAAATCAAAATAGATTGCCTTTCTATCAGCGCAAAGTCATTTAGGGAATTCACCTTTGCTGTGACTTATTAAATAGAAATCATACTCTAAGTAATTTAATAGAGAAGATGGAATTTTCCATTTTATTTAGGTCTTCTAATTTCATGTCAATGTGGCAATGATCTGGTGTCTCACCTGTACTACACACATAGTCCTTCTACCAACAATAAGGGTAACCATTCCAGTTGCAGAACAGGAGACCATATGGGTTTAATGCAATATTGACTTTACATCCCTCTGAAATAATCAAAAGTAATTAAGAGCTACACTGCAGACCAGTTTGTTCAATTGCGACTGCAAAGGCTTAAACTGCTTTAGCATTAAGTAAAATGTAACAGAGAAGGTCCAGATGAGGACTGTAGCACCAGAACAGAAAAATCCACATAGAATTTTATGAAGAATGTCTGAAACAGAATGCTGTCAATCGTTATTAAATTACTCAAGAATTGTTTGAGCTGCTTAGATTGATTAGAATAGTGTTCAAAGTTTCCTCATTTCCTCTTCAAAGTTTCAAGTTTCTATTATGTTATTTTACTATTTCACATCACCAGAAAATAACACATTCTCTTTTGTACATTTTTAACATAGACTTGTGCTACACGTAAAAAAAAAATATTTCAAAATAACTGTCAGTCTTCCTGGAACCTAAATACCCCAGATGAATTTTTTACAGGTAGGAGTTTGGACTCTTGAGATTGCAACTCTTCCTTCCACGGGAAATATGTCAAAATTTGCTCATTTGAAAATGTATTAGCTTTTGTTAAAAAAAAAAAAAAGAACAAAAACCCCTCACTAAATATAAAATACTAAAGAGCGAAAATACTTCTGTTAAAGGGTAGAGAGATCTTAACTTGCCATAGAGGAGATGGCTTCGCACTAACTATGGGCAACAATCACTTTACATCTGCTTGTTGATTAGCACAGGATTTCTAGAGGTTTGGACTGAAACCACATGTACACAGAGTCTTATAATAAATGGTTGGGTACTAGAAAACAACACAAATAAAACCCTCACCGTTGCAGCTCCCTTTATGTATAACTAATATAAACATGCTGAAGCCAGCAGGTAAAAAAACCTGCAACAGCTGGGTATGAGCAGCAGCGAATATTCACGGAAGGGAGCTCTCAATTATTAAAGTACCTCAGCTATTGACGACTTTATTAATTGAGCAGCACACGCCAAACGAAGGGGCACAGGAGCCACAAGGCCCGCTCGCCCCGCCCCCGCGGACCAAAACATTGACACGTGCGCCTCGCTCCCCCCATCACGTGACGTGCCGGGCCAGTGACGCCACCGCGCCCCTTCCTCCAATGGCGTAGGGCGCTGCCGGGTAGCAACAAACGCGGCAGCCGACAGCCAATCAGCGTGGTGCGGGGCGCGGCGAGCGCAGCCCCATGTTACTTCCGTCAATAGCGGCGGGGCCGTGCGGAGGGGTGGTGCTGTCGTGCTGAGGTGAGGTGAGGCGGGGCGGTGGCCGGCATGGCCGGGGCGGTGGGGTCAGCGGTGAGCGACACGGCGTGCGAGGGGGGCGGTGGCACCGTGTGTGTGAAGCGTGCGCACGGCCTGGCGGGTTTGGGTCTCGGTCTGAGGGATGTGTGCAGCTGGAGTCGTGTGGGACAAGGTGTTAGAGTCAGGGCGGGCACAGGGGTTTTGGAAGGAGCCGGGGCTAGGAGTGAGGAGCAGTACGAGCTGGTGGAGGTGTCTGGAGCCTGCCTGGAGGAGTAGGGTGGTGGCAGTGTCGATAGGCTGCACGGGAACAGGAGCAAACATGGCTTCACTAAGGGCAAGTTGAACCTGTCAAATTTGGTGGCCTCCTACAGTGGTGTTACAGCATTGGTGGATAAGGGAAGAGCCACTGATGTAATCTGCATGGGTTTTTGCAAGGCGTTTGATACTGTCCTGCACGACATCCTTGTCTCTAAAGTGGGGGACAAGGATTTGACAGAGAGATGACTTGGTGGTTAAGGAGCTGGCTGGACGGTTGCACTCAAAAGAGTTGTGGTCAGCGGCTTGACGTCCAAGTGGAGACCAGTAATGAGAGGTGTTCTCCAGGGATTGGTACTGGGACTGGTGTTGTTTAATGTCTTTGTCAGTGACTGTCCCGTGTTCAGCTGCAACAGTTATTTTTCTCGTTTTAGCAGCTGATGCAGTGCTGTGTTTTGGCTTTAGCCCGAGAACAATGATGGTAGCACACCAGTGTTCTAATTGTTGCTGAGTAATGCGTACTCCAATCAATGACTTTTCAGTCTCATGCTCTGCCAGTGAGGAGGTGCATAGGAAAGCCGGGAGGAAGCAGAGACAGGACACCTGATCCAAACTGCCCAAAGGGATATTCCAAACCACAGCGTGTTATAAACTGGGGGGAGTTACCTGGCGGGGCCGAGATTGCTGCTGGGGTTGGGCTGATATCAGTTGGCAAGTGGCGAGCAATTGTATTGTGCATCACTTGTGTTTATTGTTGGTATTTTTTCCCTTTTTAGTTTTATATTATCTCCCTTTGTTGTTTCCCTTATTACTATTACTAGTGGTAGCAGCAGTGGTTTGTGTTATACCTTAGTTACTGGAGTGTTCTTATCTCAGCCCGTGGGAGTTACATTTTTCAGTTCTCCTCTGCATTCTGCTGGGAGCAGAGGGGAAAATGGAGGGGAGTGAGCAGTTGCGTGGTTCTGAGTTACCAGCTGGGCTTAAACCATGACAGGAGCATGAACAGTGGGATTGAATGCACCCTCAGGAAGTTTGACAATGACACCAGGCTGTGTGGTTTGGTTGATACACTGGAGGGAAGGGATGCCATCCAGAGGGACCTTGACACGCTTGTGAGGTGGGATAATGCCAACCTCATGAGGTTCGACAAGGTCCTGCACCTCAGTCGGGGTAATCCCAGGCACAGCTACAGGTTGGGTGGAAAATGGGTTGAGAGCAGCCCTGAAGAGAAGGATTTGAGGGTATTGGTTGATGAGAAAATGAACATGAGCTGGCTTCAGTGTGCACTCACAGCCCAGAAAGCCAGCCATATCCTGGGCTGCATCAAAAGGAGTGTGACCAGCAGGTCGAAGGAGGTGATCCTGCCCCTCTACTCTGTTCTCTTGAGACCTCACTTGGAATATTGTGTGTAATTCTGGGGAGAGGTATTCCAGCCTTCTGATCACCTTTGTGGCCTCTCCTGTGAAGAGAGGCCCAGAGAGCTGGGGTTGTTCAGCCTGGAGAAGGCTCTGGGCACACCCTAATACCTAAACGGGGCCTACAGGAAATCTGGAGAGGGACTTCTTACAAGAACATGTACTGACAAGACAAAGGGGAATGACAGAGGGTAGATTTAGTTTAGATATTAGGAAGAAGCTCTTTCCTGCGAGGGTGGTGAGGTGATAAGTTTCCCAGAGAAGCTGTGGCCTGCCCTGTCCCTGGAAGTGTTGAAGGCCAGGTTTGATGGGGTTGTGAGCACTCTGGTCTAGTGGAAGGTGTCTCCACCCATGACAGCAGGGGGTGGGACTAGATGATCTTAAGGGCCCTCCCAACCCAAACCATTCTACGAGTGTACAGAGTACTTTCTTTCCTCAAGGTAATCATTTTTTTTTTTTTTTAAGGTTAAAGAGAAAGTTGAAAATCCACAGAAGTTTTACAGCTTCTGTATAATTGCATACACAATACAATACACAAATAATCTCGCTGCTTCTACAGAAGCCATGCCGTTTCTGGGGCAAGACTGGAGATCCCCTGGATGGAGATGGATTAAAACAGAAGATGGATGGAAACGATGTGAACCCTTCAGTCCTCCACTTGAGGATGGGAATAATCAGTTGAAGGATATCAGTCACACTGTGTAAGTTTGTGTTTGTGTTTTTTTCTTTAAAAAGAAAAATAAAATGATTCTGCATGAGTTAATAGCAGGTGGGAAGACAAAGAATGACTTAATTTCAGGCTGCAAATGTTTGTGGTAAATGATATCATCTGCATATTCTGGAAGTATACAAATGCAACCATGTGTTTAGTTTAGTTAGACAGACAGGAGACCCCTATGGAGATTGTCTGCCTCTTGTAACTGCTTTGCAGGTTGCCTATTTTAGGCAGATGGATCCCATCTTATGTTGTATGTCCTAAAAAAAAAAAAAAAACAACCCTGTCAAGTATTACTTAAAAGCTAAATTGCAAGTGCAACAGGCATACTGAAATGTTACCTGGAAATGAATGAAGACTTTCTGTTGACTGGGTGTTGGATTAGGACTGTTTGTTTAAAGCAGTCCAAAATACACAGTAATCATAATTTTAAGGTAATTCTCTAACACAAGATACGTCTGTGTATGCTGCTGTAGAACAGGTGAGAAAGATATGTTAAAAGCAACTAAAGTAATACTTGTGGCAGATGCCCACAGATTGGTGTGATACTGTGATTGTCAGTAGCTCTGTCCAAACAAACTTCTGCTTGGTTTCTCCATGAAGAAGTAACTCTCAAGGATAGCATTCTTGGTCTTAAACTCCAGTGTAATGTGCTCACAGTGAGGAAAGGGAACTTTCATTGTTTTGTTTTTAGTCCAGTAAATCATACAGTAACTGATCTGATTCAGAGGGAATTTACTGGCAAAGTAGGACTTGCTGTAGTTGTACACCTGTGTATTCTAAATTTGTGAAATAAACTTCAAGAGGGTTATCAAGCAGTGAAGAATTATGAATCTTTTCTTGACCTGTTGTTACTGCTTTTTTTTTTTTCTTTTTATTTGTCAATGATCTTACTTGGGCTTATTTTTCTATACAGTCTAGCCACTCTGGATACAAAAAACTACATTGTCTAGAAGAGTGTTTAGTAAGCCTATGACACGAAAGTGGCCTTAAATACACCTGAAAAAAATCTTTTCTTTCCTCTTTTGTATATCTTTAATATAATTGGCAAATGAAAGGAAATCTAATTTAGCTTTGATAGCCATTTGCAGTTACTAAGTAATTATATCTTGTAGGTTGCTTCAATTAATATTGTTTGGCTATTTGACAGAAGTGATCAGTATCTTTATGGGTAACATTAAGACCTTTGCTCTTCTGATACTAAATAAATACATATGTATGTTTTCAGAGATCAAAATGAGGTATTTTTATTGCTTCTTCAAGCAAGAATACTAGATTATTTCCCCCCCCCTCTTAGACTTGAAAGAACTTACCAATGATCTCCTTTGGAGTTGTCTTGCTAGAAACTGTTTTAAGTTAACTCCTTGGGGGGGGGGGGGGGGGGGGGGGGGGGGGCGGGGCAGGAGATGAGCATTAGAGGTCAGAGGACTGAAATAGGTACATTAGTTTGAAGGGACTGGCTGTGAAGTGCTCGGCGGTGGGGGGAGCTTTCATGATTTGGGTTTCTTAGGCTAGTTTGCTAATTTGCCAGAATCTCAGACTCTGGGACCAACCTAGTGCGTGGCAGATGCCCTCATCTGTAGCAGTTCCTCATCTTCATCTTACTTACCGCTTACTTAGCGAAGCCAAACCACACCATTGTCTTTGGCCCTGTTTTAAATTTTATGCTGCTTATGTCTGTTCAGTTAAAAATGTATGTTGTCAGAACTTAGACTACAGAATTGAAATTGGTACTTCTTGGCAATGTATCATTACTTAGGAGTAATTTCACTACCACTTGAACTTCCTGTCTATGACTACAACTTGAACTTCATATCTATGACTTGAACTTTGGATCTATGAGTTAACCTTTGCTGCTAAAAAGCAATTAATGTTTATTTGCACAGTATTATAGAACCCTTTAGGGTGAAAAGGACATCCGACTATCATCTGGTCTAAGCACAAAGGAGGACCAATTGAGGTTGGATTGTATAAGGCCTTGCCGTGTTGAGCTTCATGCATTTCCAAAAATGGAAATCCCTCTGGATTCATATTCTAAGTTCCATTACCTTCACTGTGATTTTTTTTGTTTGTTTGTTATTGCGCTGTCCCCACCCCCCAATCTCAAAAGAATTTCTCTTATCACACACTGTGTCCATTACCACTTGACTTATTACTGCCCATCTCCTCTAACCTTAAAGTCTAGCTCTATCTTATTCATACCCTTATATTAGATATTGACAGTGATCAGATTTCCCTCCACCACCACCTCAACATTGAACAAGCTCTGTTCTTACCCTCGTGTGTCATGTGCTCCAGTACTTGATCACCTTGATAACTCCCCACTTGACTTGTTCCAGTATGACTATGTTTTATTGTATCCTTGAGCCCCAGACTAGGCACAGTACTCCGGATGCCGTTTCTCATGTCAGATGAAGGAGGGCGATTACTTCTTTCAGTCTGCAGGATACACTTTCGTTAACTCGGACTAGGGTGCAGTTGGCCTTGTACAACACAAGGGTACACTGCTGACCTGTGTTCAGCTTGTTATGCACAAGACCCCTGCCTCCTTTTCTGCAAAAGTGCTTCCTATCCAGTCTATAGCCAGCATATACCTGGGCATGGGATTCTTCTGTCCTATGTGTGGGACTCTGTATTGAAGTACAGCAGTGTACTGTGTCTTGCTGGCAGATGGTTCTGTGTACCATTTTAAGCTATTTGGAAACAGTTATCTATGTATATTGGATAGACAGCTCAGCTTAGGATGTTTGTTAACATGATGTAGCACTAAGTAAGAATGAGGCTTGATAAAATTCTTCCTTCCTTGTGAAAAAAGCATAATAAACAATACATAAATACTTAACTTGTCTCTTCCTAAACTGCCCTGTGCAGAGGGATCATGGTGTAAGCTAGTCTGGCTGTCCTAACCCATTAATAAATAATATTTTTCATCAAAATATTCTGTAGAATCACTGCTAAAGGTAGTACTTGAGTATTTCATTCTAGGGAGCAGTTATGGCAGTTTCCCTTTAAAAAGAAATAAACTCAAGATATGTTGTTGACTGAAACATTCTTTTACTTCTGTTCTCTCTTGTGAGAGAAAATATACCTAGTTAGTTACTTGCCAGGCTTTCTTTTATCCATTACAAATGCTTTCTCTTCAGAAATTAAGAAGATTGTATCACCAACAGATTCACAGATTAACCTTCAAGATGTAAATAATTTACTTGAAAAATATGTTTCTTTTAAAATAAAAATTTTTACCCTATTATCTTAGTTATCCAGTGACGTGATGAACCCATTTGATGAATTAATCAAAAAGGGGGTGGATCCAATGATTGATTGATTGATGGCTTGGCTTCACGAGCAAAGATTTGGGAAGGGCTTTAACCATGCTTACTACAAGCACGATGACCAAGGGCATGTGGGATATCCAAATCTGGTTGGAAAAAAAAGGCTGCTTAGGCAATCAGGAAGTGTCCAACCATGACTGTCAACTCCTGAGCAATCTCGAGCTATCCATGCACTGGTCCGCCCACATGCAGCGTTGGATCTCCAGCTTCCCATGCACCTTGTCACCTGCCGTTTAGACCCTCGCCTGTCCATACAGACAAGTGAGATTAAGCCCTTCCAGCCTGCGCAGTGGATATTTTTTAGGTGAAGCGCAGCTTGCGCAGAACTAGCCCCACTCTTACACCTGAGGTTTAACTGCCAAGGCCTAGCTAGCTAGGATGGTGACAGCAAAGTCCACAGGTCATAGGTTTTGTAAGAGTGCCCTTCTCTTTGATGGAAGGCCATACAAGGCTAGACGAGCTCCGTCAGCCCGGGTTTGAAGATAGAAGTTTTCTTGAACAAACGGATTTATTTGTGCAGGGGCAATTCAAATAATTTGAAATAATGCTGCAGTATTTGCACTTTAAATTAGTTCAATTTATGGAAACTGAGGTGGGAAAAAGGGGACCCTCAGTTCTGCAGCTCTTATTTGGATAATTAATGGTATGTAACAAGTGGAGAGTGCCTCAAGGTATGCAGGAGCTGAAAATGTGATTGAGGCAATGCTCACTTAAGTTCTGTGGTCATGACTACCTGCAATTTGTGCCTATAAATTCTAGCACAGATATTTATTTCCAGTGCCATGGCACTGAGTCCTGGAAGCTTGATGGGGGAGAGAGCAGTACTGCCTTACAGAATTGTATATAAACACTTCTCAGTAGCCTGCAACTTAGGTGTAAAGCAGTTTTATACTTTCTTTTAAGGTAAAAGAAAGCAAGAGCCATACTATTTTGGTTCTACAAAAATCTATGACTAGATTTTCATGATGGTGGTAGTCTCTTTTTGTGGGTCAGGCTCATATGAGCTACTTGGGCTGGCAGGGTAGTAATTTAAGCCTGGTGTCTGTTGTCCAGTTCTGTGAGACACAGTGTTCATGAAAGTGGTTTTGGCACTGGAAAGAAGTCCTTAAATTTGAATCTAGTTTTAGATAATTTTGGCATTTAACAAATATTCTGTAAGGTTACTTGGTGCAACTCGGGATTTTCTATGGGTCAAGCTGTAAATGGCTTTCAGTCTCTTCTAAAACACTCAGTGTGCTCCTGTAGGTGATTGCTTGGAGAGCATTCCTTCACTGAGAAAAGAAGCAATAACTCAGAACAATTGGAAGGTCAGATAGCCCTGTCTAGTTTTCCAGCATTTTAAGTGTCATACCAAGAGGTTAAATACTGCTATGAAATTACTTTTTTTGAAAAAGCCAGAATTCTTGGATGCTTTATGTAGGCTACTGTAGTCCTAAGGACACCAGGTACTTTGCTTTTGTAAGCTTTAGAATAATTTCTTAAGTGTATTATCAAGACAAGAAAGTGAGAATAGCTGTGAATTGGCAGTATTAAGGATGTATTTAAATCTTTCCAGGTGCACTCAGATGTCATGTGTGGTATTATGGTAAAAACATTAAATTAAGGCTTATGTTATACCATATGGCAGGTGCAGTGCTTGATTTGGTTTCTTGTGGCTTAGTTTGGTGTTAAGGGGTTGCTTTTGGAAATGGTGGAGCAGCTGTGTTACTTACCGAGCAGCTTTCAAGGTTTCTGAAAGGAAGGCTAACAGATTCTGGGGATGTGCCTGTATTTCTGTCCTGTTCTGCTGATGTCTATGGTACCGTTCTTTTCATGGTAAGAGACTCAAAATTTGTTGAGAAGAATGGTGATGGTTATGGATAAGTAGGGAAGGACTCTTCATGTAAGGTGGGACAGAACATGAAGTAAAGCCTCGTATGAGCAGATCCTCAGAGGGACCAGTTAAATTCATCCTTAAAGTGACACGAAGAATTCCAGGAATGTCACAGGTGAATTTGAATGTCAGCAGAGGTGTTTGAAATAGCCCTCTTCATCCTCAAAATTCCTTCTATTAATTGACTGTCCTTAAACTGCCTTTTTTATTTGATGCTTGAGGAAGTGCATGTTATTGGGGGTGGGGAGAGGAGCTTTAAATCACT